TCATTAAATCTTTATAAAAACTTGTTTTCTTTTAAACCAAATTTCTTTTGTTAAAGGGAACTTTAACATTAATAATTCAAAATCATTAAAATAATAAAAATTGAGCTTCTTTTTAATTTTTTTCTAAGTAAGAATATTACTTAAAAAGGATATCAATACTATTTGATTTTAAATATAATATAATTTTTATAAATTAGATTTCTTGAATAATTCCTGTTTTTAAGTAAGCAAATATGTCCTTTAGATATATGGGTAATATAAACCATTATAAAATAGATGTTTGAATAGGAGAACTCTTTATTTTTAATAATAGAAGATTTAAAATTTGATATATTAAAACATGCTTTTATGTATTTTATTATCAATGAGATATACCATAATATGTGGAAACTTAATCAAATAACAATTTAGTTTGAAATCGAATTCAAAATAGTAAAATTGAGAATATAAAAAATATTATAGAAATTTCAGTTTATTAAAATTATTCTAAACTAAAATAGTTAGATAAGTAACAATATAAATTTATTTAATAATACAAAAAGCTATTTGATGAATAATCTTTTTAATTTGATAAAATAATTATTGAAACCATTTGAAATCGATATTGATATAACTCTATTCAACTTTCACTGATTTCTTAGGATACAAAAACAATAACTTTTAATAATATTGATAAAAATAATTTGATTTATATATTTTAATCATCTTATAAGCTATATTAATAATTTATTAAAATAATTTATTTATGTATTAAAGAAACTTCATATATAATATGTAATACTACATATAGATATAAATAATATTGTAAAAGAATTTCTTCCTTAATATTCCTAATTAATTTAAAATATTATAAAACATATATTGATAATCTTCAATAATTGCATCATATTAGAGAAATTCTTATTATCAAAAGATCACTGCATTTCTTTAATATCATACTTATAGTATTCAGCTCTATAGTTTGTATACTTCAAAATTTCCACAAATATAAGGATTTTGTTAGCCTCAATATGAGGAATTGTTCTATTGAACTATATACTTTATTTAAATTCTATAATATGTATAATATACATTCATAAATATTTCTAGGTTTTCAAGGTTTTTATTGAAACTAAAACTGTTAAAGATTAAAAATAATTCACCCAATAGCTTTTCATTGTTTATATATTGTGATTAGCAACTTAAATGTTACAATGTTTATATTTTTACTTAATAATTTGTGTATTTTTTAATTGCAATATCGTTTAGACCATCTGAAAGAGAAATGTTGGCAGAATACAATTAGAATATAGTGTTTTTTATTTCTGATGGAAAAAGGTGACTAAATAATTCTTTGATATGTATTTGTAAGAGAATTTCTAGCATTTAGTGTTAAAACTTAAAAAAGAAAAGGTGTCTATGGAGAAAATTTGAATGAAAAATTATAATGGACTGCTTAGCCAAGTTAATGCTAAAAGTGCTTAGTAGCAACTGCTTCATCTAAATATCTGTTTTAATAAACTTGCAGTTATACTCACAAGGCCTAGTAAAGGATTGCCCTAATAGTTTTAAGTAGTTTTTAACTCGAATTAATTTGTCAACCTTAATAATTTTAATGATAATTTATTCACTCTCAAAATACTTATAGTAATTAAATATTTTCATACCCTATCCTTTATATAGCATCTCATAATTTAATTTAGAAATGCAATCACTCTAGTTTATTATAAAGTGAATTTTCAAATTACAAACTTTCTATAGTAAGTAGTTATAGTAACTTCAAGATTGTAATTTACAATGACTTTATTGAAATCGAATCAAAAGTACTTATGTAATATTGATCTATTTTTCAAAAATGTGAACTTAATTTTTATCATTTTATTAACTTAAATTAAAGTAAGAAAAAAACAGTATTTTTGAATAATCTTCTCACTATAGAACTATTTGGACAGAATGACAATGCTAAAAGTAATTTAATTATTTTAATGTGAACCTAATAACAATTGATAAACTTATAATACTTAGGCTTTTATTTATTAACCCTAATAATATTAGTTGTATTTTTTAAATTTTTGAAATAAATGAGATTGGAGATTCTGTTTAATTCATAAATAACTTAGTAAGTGATGCTAAATTATTAAATTCAATGATAATTGTACATTATTCTTGCTCATATCTTAAAAAAAATAGTATTTATTTAAAAAATGATTTATCTGATTCTTGTTTTTCGTATTGTATATTTAATTAATATACATATATATTAAGTTTATTATACCTTAATTGTATTTTAAATATTATGGTTGTATGATTTAAGATATATGAGTTAAATATTCATTAAGAATTAAAACTAAGAGTATTTTAGTTTTATTACAAAGATATATAAACATTAATTTTTAATTGTATATAGAAATCATTTATCTTAATTAATGTGAATAAATTATTTTTATTTTTAATTAATTTTAGACAAATCATAGCATAAAAAAAAGTATAAATGTATTTAATTTGAATATCCATAATTTTACATCTTAGCCCAAATGGTTGAATTTAACCTCCATTTTCATAATCCTTAGTCTTATCAAATTCAACATAATAAAAAATCGCTTATAAGGATATCTTTAACGAATAATAGTAGAGTAACAATAAAAATTATATAATTTATGCCTAGAATGCCTCTATGAATCAATACAATGGTTAGAAAACATTTGCAGAACAAAATTATAGTTCTTCTTAAGCAATATTCGTACGTTAATCTCAAAAGTATCACTTTTTACTTTACAAAATTTATAGCTCTAAATTCACTACTAATTTACATTAGATTTTAAATTTATGAGGTGGTCCCCATTATTATAATTACATGCTATATTTGCCTTCTGTTAACTGGTCGTTTAGCCAAAAAATATTTTTTATATATATAGTAAAATCAAACACTAATAGATTTATTCAAACTTTATTTATAATGATAAATACTAATAGAGTGAAGAATATCTGATTTTCCCTATTTCAATAACCATTCAAAAAATAACTTCTCTAGTCACTGTAGCTATGCTAGCACAAAATTATAATAGAGTAATTAAAAAATTACAATTATCTATTAATAAATGCTCAATAAGATCCAATTCATGTCATTCATCCGGATGTTTTAATTAAGAATTGTTTTCATACCTTTTTTTCTTTAAAAGAATTCTCCATCATATATACAGATGAAGGATTGTAGCATTGAGATAACCCAGTTAAAAATTGTTTAGGCATATAACATATCATTATAATGATTTAATTACATATATACTTCTTGTAAGGATTTGCTTAAAATCTTTGACTTAAACTTCCATAAGCTTCTAATTAAAACTTTTCATTTTTATTCAACTATAATTCGCGTTTATATCCATAAGAGTACAGTAAATTTAATAAATAAAATTTTGTATTCCTTAATGTGGTGATGCTATCATTACTTATGATGAGGAATGTCTCACTCAAGATCTCAAGAAGTAAATAAATTTTGTTTGATTGTAGTGAAAATTTTTTCAAAAGATAATTAATCTCCTCCAATTAAGAAACTACTATATCAATTTTCACTTTGATTATATATTTAAGGGATATGCGATAAAACTAACTAAAAAGAACCTTATATATATGGATTTTGATCGTTCTCAAGGATCTCTTTTCAAAGAATGCTATAAAATTAAGTATAATAAGGTCAATGATGAATTTTTGATTTTTTAAATCTAGGATATGATAAAATAACAAATTAACTAATTGCTCTATTTAATACTTATTGATTAGTTTAAGTCCTTTAATAAGCGAATTGAATGATGAAATTAGGTTTATATCTCCTTCTAAAACAATGGATATTGATATTATAAAATTATGGACCAAATAGAATATTTCTTTATGGAAAAGGGTATGATTGATATTAAAAGCAGGATTCGAGATTTAGTATGATATTGTGATATATGTTGATGAAGTATGAACTAATTCTGAAGCCCTTTGAGGATTAATGATAAAATTAAGGTGATTAGAAAAATAGATGAAAAATTAAAAAAGGATTTGAATTAGGTTAATGATACAAAACTGGGATCAATTTTTTGAAGGAACAGTTGATAATGAAAATGTAAATTTGAGATTTTACTATTATTATTGGATTTGTTAATTTTTTCATATGATGATCAGGAGGTTTTAGCAGGAAGATTATAATGGAAGAGATAAAAAAGTATCTTATTGGAGAAAAATAAAAAGAAAAACCAAAATTCCAGTTTGAATGGGTAAATAAGGAATACAAAAGTGATGGAGCATAATAGTTATTTAAATGTTAGGGTGAAGAATAAACTCAACTATTGAATAAAATATATGAAGCAGAGCCATAACTTTAAAAAAAATAAAGAACTCTCTGCTTGAAAGGATTAAGTCTTATCACTAACAGAATGCATTGAGCTAGTATTCCTGAAAGGAGTAAGGTCCCAATATCTAGAATTTTGAGAGAAATAGCTTTTTAATTGATAAATTATTTAAAGAGTTGTGCCTGAAATTAGACTTTTATTAGGAGGTATATTTTAAGAACCATATAAGAATTTCAAAAAAAATAAAAATTCAGGCGCTTTTTAAATAGCCAAATAGCAAAGAATTTAAATTAAAGATAACATTTACGATACGGAAAATAATTTCTCATTTCAACTGTCTTTTATAAAGATTTGAATTGATTAAAAATTGTTCTCAGCAAATTATGGTATTTTTTGTTTAATATTCTCTTAAACATATAAATTATTAATTTTTTATAATATTATTTTAACCCTGAATAAATAAGATCATTCAACCTCAGAAATCTTAATATGGCAATCAATGAGTGAATCTGCTAATGAATTTATATTATCTAATAATAAATTTAAGAATTTAATATATTATTGAAATATCATTCAAAAAAATCATGGAAACTGTTTTGAAGTTTAACTAAATCATATAATATTAATTACTAAGATATTTGACTTTGATTTTTTAAAATAAAATAGAAATTGTCACCAGAAACCGACCTAAAATGAAATAGTTCTGAAATATT